GTATCCGACCTCATGTTTGTAAAGCTTACTTAATCAAAGAAGTATCTAAAGGATTCATAGTGACAAGACATGGAGTAAACCTAGAATATAGGTATGTATCAAAGACCTCTTTTTAAGCTTAAACTCGGAATATGTAGGTATCACCTTGAAGCCAGGTCATCGGGATAGCTAGCTAGGTCAGTGACGGACTTTACAAAATACAATAGACGGTATACTAGATCGTACCTATACTGTCATACTATTGTAGGAACCTAGACACATGTAGGCTATGTCTAGTGTGACTCTAACTTCTAATCTAGAATCTCTCTTGTTTAAACACCATGTCTCTTTCACGTGCGGAGTAGATTTCGCACAAAGGTCGATATATGTCAGCTTGCTAGATTCGAGAGATATGCATGTTTAATTGGATTCCGCCTATGAGTCACTGATCATCGTATAGCTAGCCAATAGGCATCAACTAGGAAAAAGCAAGCCTAATAGTAAAAATGAGCATGAACCGACATGATATCGGAGTTTAAGAGGATCGACTGGATCAAGGATGAAGAGAGTATCAGTGTATTGAATAGAGGGCAATGGACCATTTCATAATATGAAGATATATACGGAGTAGACTCTATGTATGCTCAATTATGCGTTGGCCAGGTGAGATCATCTGGTGATAAGCAAAATCGCTCGGAGATAACGGATTAATCATCATTTCGTCGGGACCTCCAGCTGGTGTCCAGCTTCATTTTCTGGTGGTCATCTCTTCGTTCCTATCGTGGACTGGAAAAGGAACTCTGATCGCGACATTTGAATCAAAAGATCCCAACAGAACTTCCAAGTCCGATTTTCGCCCCCGGCCACGCTTATCCACCCACGCGGCATCTCACCCCTCCTTCGACCATCGCACATCGCAAGCTTCGACACCGCACATCCGTTCATCGCATTGCCCACAATTCATCTAGTGATACTGCGCGACCTAGGTCAAATCTACCATCGCTCAAAATACTCGCGAACAACATCAACTGCCCCCAAGTTATTGGTTTGACGCGGTTGCCTAACGACACGAGCCAAATTCACTCGCCCTGACGCTGCGCCAAATTGGGCACACGTTGCTACGACCGTCGAAGGAAACGAAGTTGCTTTCAGAAACCCGCGCAGACACTCAGGAGTGGGCCTGCAATCAGACTGAGAAGACTATTTGGATGAGCTCGTAGAACAACCAAGTGGCACATTTGATTCGGTATTAGGGCTGTGCGCTCTGCGACAGCGTGTTTGAGAGCCCCGCCCGGCTTGAACATCGACTTGACCTGCATTACATCATCTGTGCCTGCGGGTTCACCGACGACATCGCAATAATTTGATTACCCTTCCATGATAATGCCATTCCCCACCAAAATGACCCCGACACCTCCTTCTACAAACTCCTCGAGTGCTGGCCACTCTCCAGATTACAGAGTCGTCCGGAAACGAAACCGGGTACCTTTGTCATGTGGGCCTTGTCGGCACAGAAAGTAAGCATTCAAGGCGTGGCTGAAATCCCTTTCTTTTCCTTTTTCTAACGGTTCCAGGCTGAAATGCAATCGTACGAGTCCTTGCGAAAACTGTGTCAAACGGGGGGATGCTGCTTCATGTAACTATGCGCAACCCAACTCGCGTAAGAAGAATTCGTCCCAGCAATCGTCCAGTACACCGGATGACATGCAAAACCGCATCGATCGGTTAGAAGGCTTGGTTCTTTCGTTAATGACAAACGGCTCTCAGTCTGCGGGTCCAAATGCTGCCATGGCGGCGATTTCTGGCGAAAGTAGTGCTGGCTCCACTCGGTTCTCCCATGACCTCGACGCCGAAGAGGAGGCTATGGAGGGCGCCGAAGAGAGCGACACGGACCAGGTGACTAAGTCATTTGGCATCATGAAGATGGACAATAACAAGTCCTATTACATCAGTGACGCTCATTGGGCGTCTGTACTGAGTGATGTAAGTTTGGGAGGTTTGACCAAACCTGAGTCTTTCTAACATACCGAATAGATCGCCGAGGTGAAAAGTTTCTTCACAACGCACAAGAAGCAAGTCGATGAGCAACTTCAAAAAGTCAAAGCGGCCCAACCATCTTGTGATGGATCAGGCTCGGCTTTGTTGTTTGGTATCAATAAGCCAATGAGCCGTGGGGAGATCATGACCGGCTTGCCTTCTAAGTATACAACTGACATTCTTATTGCCCGCTATTTCAATTGCTATGACCCTGCAACCCGTCAGTATTTGCTGTTTCCATAGCCCGTGATTTCGATACTGACTTTGTCTAGACGTTCTTCATGGGCCCACATTCCAAGCTCAGGTAAGCTCTTCGAGAAGTCCATTGTGAGTGCAGACTCTGACTCTGCTAGTATAATAAACACTGGGATGATCCTACCGCGACCGAACTCGTCTGGATCGCCATGCTCTTTGGGATGATGAGATTGGCAATGCTATCTTACCACCGCGAAGGCGATGAGCCACCCGAATTCCGGGGCAAGTCCATGGACATGGCTGGCGGATTCCGAAATTCTGTAGCGCAGTGCTTGACATTGGCTGACTACACGAAACCCCACCCCTTCTTGATTGAAGCGCTCGTGTTTCATTTGCATGGCGATTTCTCTCAGACCCGAGAGGCGGACATATCAATCTGGGTCATGACTGGCGTTGTTGCTCGCCTAGCAATGCGATCAGGATACCACCGTGACTCCAAAATGTTCCCAAACATCACACCTTTCCAGGGTGAGATGCGACGGCGAGTGTGGACCTTTGTGCGCCAAGCCGACACTCTATTCTCATACCAGGTCGGGTTGCCGGGCATGATCCGGGGTACAGATAGCGATACTGAGCTACCACGGAATTTGTACGATGATGATTTCGATGAAGATTGCAAGGAGCTGCCGCCACCTCGTCAATTGAACGAGCCAACACCAATCTCGTATTTGATTGCTAAGGCGCGCCTGTCGTATGTATTCGGTCGTGTGGTTGAACAAAGCTCCGCCGTCTCGTCGGCCCCATACGAAAAGGTTATGGAAATCGACGCGGAACTCCGACAGGCAAGGGACTTGATCCCAGAGCACTTACATATTCGGCCTATGGAGGAATGCCAGTTGGATCCTATTAATATTATCATGTCGCGGTTTTCCGTGAGTCAGCTGAAAGCGGCCCCTACTCGCATCGATACTAACCGTTTGTGCAGGTAATGGCTGTATATGACAAAGCTCAGTGTGTGCTTCATCGCCCCTATCTGGCTCGTGCTCGAGAAAATCCTCGTTTCACCTATTCTCGGAGGACATGTATCGACTCAGCGATGGAGCTATTGCGGGTCCAGGCGCTTCTGCACGCGGAAACGCGCAACGGACGTCTCCGCAGTCGCCAGAGCCGAGTAACTTCCCTTACTTCAGCAGACTTCTTACTAGCAGGCACCATTGTTACTCTCGACCTGTACCACGGCCTGTCATTGCAAGTCAGTGGCCGGCCATCGGGAGACACGTACACATGGGGCCGAGAGCGGCGCGATGAAATGACCGCCGCGATTCAACACTCGAAAGAAATTTGGGATGAGTCGCGTGATGAGAGCATGGAAGCGTGGAAAGCATCCACTGTTCTCGGTGTGATGCTCAGCAAGCTGCACATGTCGGTCCCAGGCCTTGAGAATAGCGCCGGAGCTGCTTCATTTGAGCCACAAGACGAGAAGCAGAACGCGGCCATGACCCTCGGCCTGCTGAGCAGCGGAATGAGCCCGATGAACCCGGGCCAGCCGCCATTTGCTGATCCCATGTTCAAGGTGGGAGATTCGCAGATGGGAACAGGAGCAGGTGGTGTGGGCACCTCTGCCGAAATGCCGGGTGCGCTCTCGCCCTTTAGCACCATGTTTGGGCAGATGCCGGACATGCAAGTTAACCTTGATTGGGTGAGAATTACTTCTTCGGGAACCGGATTTCAATGCTAACATGTTGAGGTTAGGATGCCTGGGACACATACATCCAAAATCCAACCCTCGACACGACAAATCAATTCTGGCCTATGATGGATGCACAGCGCCAAACAACCCCACAGTCTGGAGGCATGTCACAGCCTTCAGTGTCTAGCCCTCTGGGCTCAGGGCGGGTGCCATCAATTAGTGGTGTTCCGCGGCTACCGACAATGTACTCAACATCCTCCAACAGTCCTGATAGTGCAGGTGGGCCAGTAACAGGATATGGCATGACGCCAATGCCACAACAAAACGATGGCCAGGGCCAAGGTTCCCAATGAACGAGATGTACATGGTTTTTTCTCTGCTTTTGCCAGAAAATGCTTTGCGCTGGCCGTTTTTGATACCGAAATGTTTTGCTGGTTTCTTGATCGGATGAAAGCAGGTTCTACTCCTTACCGGATGGGTATGTATTGCGTGCTATGTAGCGACTATGGTCGCTATTTTGGTGGATAAATTCGGGCGATCTGAGAAAAGATGTTATGTTGTATGGATTCTGTTGGTGTTGGGGTTAATGTATCATACCATGAGGCTACTGTCATATATTTCCACTCTGAATTATAATATCTTACATTTAGTTCGTGTTTTATCTTTATCTAGCCTTGCATATTCTCGATATAAAATATTTGGTCTAGTCCTCTTTATTGCCTTGATCTACTTCGTTATCATTGGTATATCAGTCACGTGCCAGGACTCGTCAGCCGGGGAAAAAGTTATCTGGCGCGCGATTCTTCTCCAGTCAACATATTATTTTTAATACGAGATCAAAAGATCTCGTCCTATTTAATTTTCAAGATGTGAGTTATACCGAGTGCAGGGTCCGAGTCCGAGTCCGAGACCCTATACTTCATGTTCTCACGATCTCTGCACTTGCTGGTGCACGCGACATTTGAAGACAACTGCTAAACAAGCCATTTCCAGGCATTGCTTCCGCCGGGCCGTTTCTCGGCTTCAATTATCTCCAGCTGCTTCGCGCTCATCAACCACCGCCTCTAGCGCAGAGCTGCGTTCAATATGTCCCACTCCTATGCGGTTCGCCTCCCCAACCATCACACAGACACGGTTAAACTCGACCAATAGAGACGGTCCACGAACTCCGATCAGATATGTTGAGTCTGTCCAGCCATCCAGGGCGGACCAAGCCCGCCTGCAAAGGCAAGAACGCCGACGTCAGTATATGAGCGACGGCCCTGTACCGAAGACCACCGTGTATGTCGGCAACCTGTTCTTCGACGTGACCGCGGAGGATCTGCGCAAGCATTTTGAGAAATACGGCGCCGTGGAGAACGCACTGATTGTGCACGATGCCCGCGGGCTGAGCAAAGGGTGAGTCCCGAGAACCGATTGACAGCAACAGTAGCAATGCAGCCGAAAGCCCACCAGACACTGACATAGTCTCCCTTATAGTTTCGGGTATGTTACCTTCAGCACTATCGAGGAAGCCACGCACGCAATCACGCAACAACACGGAGGCATTCTGGAAGGTCGCGAGGTGGTGGTGCAGTTCTCCAACACGGTCTACAGAAGCATGGCCGACAGCAAGCCCAGCCAAACCCTCTACATCGGAAACGTCCCCTATGAATTGACGGACCAGGATTTGCAGGATTTGCTGGCTGATCTTCACGGTGTCAAAGATGTCCGCATCCCCGTCGACCGTCGCACGGGCTTGCCGCGTGGATTCGGACACATCGACTTCGCCGACCAGAGCAATGCTTCCCACGCCAAGGAAGTTCTCTCTCGTAAGGAGCCTTACGGCCGCAAGCTAGTTGTCAGCTTTGCTAAGCGCAAGGTCTTGTCGCCCGAGGACCTCCAGCGTCACCAGCAAAAGAGGTTGGAGAACAAGAAACCCTTCAACCAGCGCTCGGGTGCTCAGAGTAATGTCGAGTCATTCTCGGCTGTGAGGGAGCCCGAGGTGCGCGAAGTGCGGGAGGTAAATGAGATTGGGGAGGTTACTGAGGTGAAAGAGGCTGAGCAGGTGGTCGAGCAGACTGAGACCGAACAGAAGCAGTAGAGAGGGTTATGTGTGAATAATAAAGTGTATAATAGTGTCCTAAAATGCTAAGTAGAAGCATTTTCAATCGCGATGTGTATTAAGCAGAAATGATTATATCTACACCTGGGAACGTACTATTGCTTATCATACATTAAATCTTTTTCAATTTATCTAAATAACATATCAAAGTATCATGTCATACGCACTCCTTTTAGCACTCGCTGCCGCAGTTCGTTAGAGGACCCTTTGCCTGATCCTTCGTGCTTGGTCTTTACCCGACGTCTCGACCTCGACTGATGAAAGCCAATGACCAACACTCGCTGCAACACGACTGGAATCCTCACCCACTGCATCTTATACGACAAGCTCAAGTCTGCCAATGAACAGTATTGGGGCAACAACGCCATGAAGGTCAATCTGAAGATGGGAGGTATCGACCCCTTGTGCAGCCAGAGGCAAAAGCCTGCAAAAATTGAAAATCCAAAGCAGGGTGTCTTCTGGCAAGGGGAATGGCCATTTGACTGGTATTTGCTTAGGCGCAAAATCCGAGTTCTTGCACCCCTGTATGGCCACTAGGATACACCGAAATAATAATAATAAGAAGAAGAAGAAGAAGAAGAAGAAGAAGAAGAAGAAGAAGAAGAAGGCTAGGTAAGCTCGCTTTTGCGGATTCTATGTAAGGAGGTGCTCATAGAATCGAGACAGGCAGTATAACCCTATACTATTATCATGTCAAAAATGACATGGTCCGCCCATGCCGAGCTCTACTTATGGCCAATGGTGTTAGATACACCTGGATTAACTGCTCAAAGGTGCACAGTTAATATTTCAACGTCTACATTGGGTAACTATTCTCCGGATATCCAAGAGCTCGATTCACACCAAAAAGTAAAGCAATGCAGTTTAGTGAGGGAATTCACCCTCAGTCCCCTCCGCAAGTCCCTGCTCCCGCTGCAACTGATCCTGCTCATCTAGATACGGCATCAAAATCTTCTCCCAACTAGACTTGCCCTTGTAGTACGAAACAGTCTCGTCCCAATTCTGAATAGCCTCCAACAAACGACCAGGGATATATGGCTCCTGAGCCAATTTTGTCACTGGCTCAAAATACGTGCGAATGGTAAACAAGATCGCCCCCGAGCGTGGCAGCCGACGGAGTGTCTGTCGTTCTGAGCGGAAGTGGATCTCGTCGATGGTCAGGCCTTTGCCATCGGCGGTGGCCCATGCTGGTGATTAATATCGTTAGCATCTGCTGAATACATAGAGGGAGGGAGTGGGAAACGAACAGGCAACTTCTGTTCCTTGTTGATCGCCCATGCGGTGGGACCAGTGGAGTCCGTCGTCGAGTTGGATGAAGAACTATAGCTCTTGTTAGGGTGTGTATGCCTTTCGATCAATGAGACAGATTGGAAATTGAACATACATTATTTCTCTCCACTGGCTTGTCTGGAGTAAGCTTCAGCATGAACTTATTCATGGCTTTTTGTAACTTGGCGGCATAATGAGGAACGCCGGCTTCGAAGTGAAGTGTATCTAGGGACATGCGGAATTTCTCCTTGAGACGCCAGAAGCCGGGGAGGCAGACAGCGGCTGCGTCGAGGTGGTATTCTCCGTCTGTACTCCGTTAAAGATTGCTCCTTTCAAGTTCTCCGGCGAAGAGATCATACCATCATTTTTCATCATCAGCACTAGATCATCCTGAACCAGCAGAGCTGATGTTGCAAGAGCCTCGTCGGGGGTTGCTATAGCTTACAGTTAGCCGAAATCCCTTTTGCAGGAGCGATCGGATATGAGCATACCTGCTGGGAATGCAAATGCCTCGCCAGTAAGGCTATTATGCACTTTCCCTCCTTCCAGTCGGAAGGTCTTGGGATAGCGATGTGTCAGATGACGGACCAATTCCTCATTGAGCTCAAAACAAGCATCTTTCGTGACTGCATTATCGACATATTTGATGTGTTCTTTGAAATCCTTTTTCAATTCTGCTGCTTTTATATCGTGGTATCGAAGAAAATAGGAATCCATTTCGATCCAGTTGTCCCAGTGCAGTTTGCGAATTCCCATGGTAATGAAGTTGGGACCATGCCGGAACGGGCGATACAATTTGGGACTGACTGAAGTCGGATCATCGGGATGAGGTCTGGGCAGTGGTTTGATGAATGGTTCTTTCTCCGGTTGTTGTACTTGAGGAGGGCTGGATTTACGATGAAATGGCCATTTCACTATTAGCCATGTGAGCATGGACATGAATAGCCCTAGGGATGGAAGGGTGCCCGATGGAAGGACGTTGGTGGGGATCATTGTTTCATCCAATGACGAAGTTTGTTGACGGTAACACTTATAGCTGACGGAGAGCAGATGCTCTTAAATAAGGTATGTATACATGCATGTTGTAGAATATATATCGTAGATTGGCACTCTACAGTACATTCAACCGGCTAAGCCCATTCAGGCAAATATTTTGGCCACAAACCTACCGGACCAGGCAGTTTCAGTGTCCACCTGTTCAGGTATAGTGCGTACTGATAAGAGTCTCACCTTAACCCTGCTTGAGTACCGTGGATGGGGTTGCATTTAACGCCCTCTCATGGATGCGTCTTCCCCGCAATTCGGAAACTCTCTCGCTCTTTCCACCTGGGCACGCCTTGGCCTCCCCAATCTGGTGAACCGTTGGAGATGCCATCATATGCTCGGCCCACCGGTGTGGGGTTGAAAAGCATCCCGAGGTCCACGGCTGGTCTCGTCCCGTACATACTAGTAGTAGCTTCGGCAAGGTTCTAGAACAGCGGCTTCACTTGCCTAACATTTAGTTTGTAATATAAATTTGTTGACTACGTTTAGAGATACCTAGATAGTGGTGTTGTTAGAAATATACGTATATAATTCTTGCAAAAGTAAATAAAAAACACCCTATATAAATTCAATTCAAAGTCAAGAGCGCTCAGCTTCTTCTAGAGGGCCTTTGAAATCTGTGTCCAAGTTAGTACTTCATTTTAAGTCGAGGGGAGGTGAATGCTTACATCTCCGCCCATAGACCATATACCAGCCCATACTTAAAGCAACACAACCCACGAACACAACTGACGCATAGGTCATGGTTTCGCTGGTGACAGGAAGTGTGACAGGCATGCTGAACAGAATAGCCTGAAAAGCAATCCACAAGAGCGCAACGACATTCGCCGCCTTTCCAACAAGAGGATTCAGCTTCCAGCGCGACTGACTAATTTCCACGCGGCGATCCACAAACAGACTGATCGCGATGGGAATCGCATACGCCACAGCCAACGCAATCACGCCCACCGACGCAAAAGCCGTGAATGCACTACTGCTCCCGAGGTAGGTGAGTCCCAGTAGCATCTCAACAGCCGTAACCAAGCATAGCGCTGCCAGTGGGCTGTCCCTGACAGTGGATGACCAGAGATGCGAGAATGGGATTGCATTGTCACGAGAGAAGGCCCAGGTACATCTCCCGGCGGTGGTTGTGATGCTGATGGAGCAGAAAAGGGCAACGAATAAAACGAGGATCATGAGGACTATTGAGGCTGCGGGTGAGCCTGTCACCACGTGGATGATATATGGGAGGGCTTGTCCGTACGGCGCGGCAATGATGTCCGCTAGCGGTGGAAGTGTGAAGCAAATAGGTATAGTAAATACTAGTGCAGCAGCACCGGCTACCACAGGTACCAGGCTGATAGCTGTAGGTATTTGCATTTCCGGGTCTGTGCATTCTTCTGCCATAGATGTCACCATTCCCAGTGCGGAGAATGCATAGGCTGGAGGCAGTAGGCCGATGAAAAAGGTGAAATGCTTCTCCCAGCCGGAATAGCTGGGGTCATACCCAACGAAGCCTGTGTAGGCGTCGCGACGACCGTTTTTTGCGAGGACGAGGAGAGTTATGGCGAGTGTGGTGCATGTGACGACCGAAAACGCTGCAGAGAGAGTGTCGATGAGAGGAAGGAGATGGTCGGCGAAAAAGCATATCATGAAAACTACGAGACAGATGGCGTAGAAGATAAGAAGGAGTTGCCAGTCAGAAGCCGTCCAGGCGGGATAAAAGATGGACACAGTTGCAACGATGAGAGAGGCGATTCCGAAGTTCACAGAAAGCGATATGGTCCAGTTTCCGATGAGCCAGATCCAGCCCGTGACAAACGAGACCAGCTTTCTGCTCCCGCTGGTCTTCAGGAGACGGAATGACCAGTGGTAGATACCAGATGAGGTAGGGTATCTTGAGGCGAGTTCTGAAAGAGACAGGGCGACGCAGGTATCCAGTGCCAACACTACCAGAAGCCCAATGAAGAGGGAGAGTTGGCCGCCGCCATACACGGCGCTGATGAGGGCGCTACCGATACCATAGGGAATAGAGGCAATTGACAGGGACATGAACAGCATGCTCGACAGCTTGCGCGTGCGGCGCAGCTGAGGCTTGTACCCCAATTGGTATAGCTGTTCATCCTGATATGTGCCGAGGCCATGGGTTTCGACTTTGTCGCACGAGCCTATGCTGAGGTCTTGTTTCTCCATGTTTTTCTCCATTGGTTACCCCGATTTGGAATTGAAAAGACACTGGCGGGTTTGTAGATTCATTGCGCGGGTATGCAGCATTGGTCTTTATACCGTTTCCCCACTGCATGCACCTGGAGAAGAAGCTTTGTTCTAGTCCAGCAAGGGAAATAATCTGGGCCACTTATCCTTTTGCCCCGGCTTAATGAAGAAGCCATTAGATGGCGGTCACGTATCTACGACATACGATTTGCTACAGGGTTGTTAGCATGGTTCCTGTGGCCAAGCCTGGGAATACTACACTTGTAGTTAGACGATTGCGGGGTAGACATGGCCCATGGGAATGGTTCAGCTGGGCTTATCGGTACCGTGTTGACGACCGGGTCGAAGGAGTTGCCTTGGACGTTGCCCAAAAACTTTCCCAATTGGGTTTAACTCAGCATGTCAAGGCGATTTGCTTTGCATCTGTCAGATATCTCGGATACAGCTCCACCCGCTCCGGTTTCGGACACATT